AGTCCTTGGCAGGGAGGTCCTGCGGGCAGGGTCCGCCTCAGCTGCCCTCCGACCCCCGCTGCCCTCGGGCTCTGAGCGCGGCAGGGACCCCTCACCTGATGATGGCCGCTGTCCCCAGCTGTCTCTAGCACAGGGTGGCGGCAACCGGGGACGCTGGAGGCCTGCGTTCCAGGGGAACAACCTTGGTTCCTTTCCAGTTCTGTTTTGTTGCAGTACTTACCAAGCCAGGGGTGTGGGCTCCCTCAGGTAGAAGCTGCTATTGTGTGGATTGTGCGAGCCATGGTGATCTCCTTTGGTTAATCGGCTGTGAAGAACTAGGTAACCTTGCCTTGGAGTCCCAGTCTGCGGCCTAATATGCTTAGTGGATTTAGGAGCCTGGGTTTCTGCCCTAGGATGTGCTGACCCTGCGGCCTCTGCAGGCATCTCAGGTGCTTTCTCTCAGAGACAAAATTAAGGGTCAATATTGGCGTAATTGCCTTAATTTGAAGCACACCTTGCCTTTATGCTGGTGAAAATACCCCAATTCTAGAGTAAGATTGCAGGCAGGAATGATACTTTCAGAGAGGGGCTCACTGACTGGTGTAGAAAGTTTGCTGAGCGGGGGTTCCCGTGACAGTGGCTGTGCCGCAGCCGGAGGCCTCCAGTTAGTCGTAAGGAAAGCAGGGATTAAGCACAGTTTTGTTTTGAACCAGTTTTTGTGATGTGTAAGCAGCAATTTGGAAGTTGTCGTTTTACACTTTTTCAGTTTTACAGTCATTTACTGGTTCCATTGAACTTCACTAAGGTTCTGGGTAGTGGTGGAGAATCACTACTTTGTACCCAACTTATTTTATTTTGTATCTTGTTTTTTTCTTTTTTTGAGACAGGGTTTCCCTATGTAGTTCAGGCTGGCCTTAATCTCTCTTTTGCCTCAGCTTGCCGAGTGTGGGAGTGGGGTTACTGGTGAGTACCACCACACCTGGCTGTTTTATCTGATTTTAAAAAGTGGAACTGTGATCCCATCATTCTGGGGGCTGAGGCTGGAGGATTGCTGCAAGTTCAAGGCCAGGCTGGACCACATAGTGAGACCCTTTCTCCAAGAAAACCAAATAGATTTGAAAACATGCACAGAAAACATCTCAGAAAACCACCCTGGAGTGGGTCAGGGCGCCTGGCAGGTTTCCACATTCACCTGTGCAGACAGGATGCCCCCTCTTCACAGTCTGTATGGTCAGGCTTTGCTTTTCCCTACATTTCAACATTCATCTTTACATTATGAACTGTGCTTCTTGGGTTTTACATGGCTTTGCACCTTTCACAGTGATGTCTTCTAAGCTGAGGCTCCTAATTTTGTTCTAACTTTCTGTTATTTTCCACAGTTTTCATAGAACTGCACTGGGGCCTTTCCACTGTGGGCGCTGACTTCCTTGGTTTTGCTGTTAAACATGGTACATTCTTGGGCTTAGCTTCTGGGCTCTTGTACCAGGCTTCAGTCCTGTGTGCATATTTAAGACTCTACACATGGCAGTGAGGCCTTCTGATACTAACAAATGCTTATAAAAAGCACTTCCATTATTTTTAGCAAGGTGAGTGTGGGCTTATTTTGTTACGTTTGGCCATAGCCTTCAGCTTGGGATCTGTCAGCTGTGTCTCAGAGTTATGTCAGGTTGGTCTGGTCCAGTGATGGTGAACCTGTTTGAGCTTTCAGTGATACAAACACAGCCTGCTGTGGCACGCATGCCATAGGTTTGCTGCCACTGGTCTGGACTTACTGCAAGACAGGATTGCTCTGGGGTACATGTTGCCTCATCAGATAGGAATCAAAAATCCGATACTACTGTGGGCTTTGAAGTTTTGGAATTGTTAAGAGTTGGACATTTGAGGACTAGAAACTGAAGCAGGAACTGAGCAGGAACTGAAAACCAAGTATCATTGTGGGATTTCATTCATTCATTCATTCATTCGATTTTGTGAGGCAGGGTCTTGCTATGTGGTTCTGGCTGGCTTTGAACTCACTGTGTGGCCCAGACTGGCCTTGAACCTGTGGCAGTTGTGGTGTCTCAGCCTCCCAAGTTCTGGGATCATAGGTGTGTGCCACCATGCGTGGCTATCATTTATTTGGTATTGAGAGTTGAACTCGGGGCCTCATGCTTGCCAGCCAGGGACTGTGCTGCTGAGTTGTATCCCCAGCCCACATTTATTTGTTTTTGAGATAGGGTCTCACTGTGTAGTTCAGGCTGGCCTCAGATTCACTCCCATCTCAGCCTCCTGCGTGAGGGGACTTTAGGCATGCACCACCACTTCTGGCTCCATCCTAGGGTAGGAACTTAGGGTGGCCTCGCTGGTTAGAGAGGCCCTGTACTAGCAGAGGACTGGTCCCACCCATTTTAGCAGTCCAGTTCCAATTCATTTTTGCTGAATGAAGTCTCAGAAGGGAGCAGTTACAATTTCATTTTTTGTTTTGTTTTTGGTACTGGGGATTGAACTCGGGACCTTGTGCTTGGGAGGCAGGCGTCAGAACCACTGAGCCAAATCCCCAGCGCAATTTCATTTTTGATAAAGAATCTCTGAATGTATAAATCTGGGTGGTCCTAATTCAGATGACTGATGAGACTCAGCTCAACTCCACTCAGCTGAAGAGCTTTTCACTTGTGCTGTGGTCTGGAGTTGTGGCCTGGGTGTGAGCTTGTGGCTGTTCTGTGTGGGGTTGTGTCTCCCAGGAGACTGGATGGGGAAGGGGTTTCTGCTGGATGTGCAGACTTCCCACCCCTTTATTTTCTTTTGGAAGCCTCCACACAGGGGTCCCCTGGGTTGCCCCCTGTTGAGCACATGGTTGGGTCTGGATGCCCAGTGGGAGATTAGCTTGGGGGTTGGGTGCTTAGACACCTCACTCAGCACATGATTGTTGCTAGGGTAAACCAACAGCTCTCCTTGCTTGTAGGAACCAGAAGCACTGGACACTCCAGTGCTGGCTGTTGGAGACATCCTGACCTGCAGGCCTTGGGCTTATAGTCAGGCAGAAACATTTCCTCCAGCGTCCTTGGGCTCCAGGGCCACAGCTAAGATGTGGCTGCCTTATGCTTTTATTCTAGATTCTCATTCTTTTTTTAACCAAGTCTTGCATTTCATTGTATCGTTATTTTTAATTGTAAGATGTTTTGTTCTTTTGGGGACAGTCTTGCTGTGTGGACAGGCTAGCCTCGAGCTTGCTGTGAAATATACTTGTTGGGCTCTCGGTCCTGCCTCAGCCTCTCGAGTGCTTGGATTACAGGAGTGCATACCATGCCTGGCTTTAATGTTTTGGGAAGTTAGTTTATTGGGCATGTTGAAAGTTGTTCATGTTAATACATCTGTAAGCAGGAGTCTGCTAGCTGATGTTCATGTTTACATCTGTAATCAGGAGTCTGCTAGCTGCAAGAGTGTGTGGTGACATTTTGAGTGAGAGTTGCAATAAATTGATTAAAAAATTTAAAGGCCAAACTTGAAGTACTATTTATTGTACAGAATAGATAGTGTGGCGCCT